ATCTTTTCTCCATTAATTGAGGTGTGGTGCTATCTATTCTCAGCATAGTATATTGAATTACAGATAAGAATTAGAATTCTAGATAGCTTTCTGGTGCTTTAATAATTTTTGGACATATACATTTTCTAAACATCATTAGTTTAGTTTAGGTACTTCTACACAAAAGGGTCAGAACCACTTATGAAAGCCAAATAAAAATTATTTTTGTTGTATTCACATGAGCATTTTATAATTCATGTGACTAATTGAATTGTTAGTAAGGTCAATGATCACTTTTGGAATACTAAACTGATAATCACATGATGCTTTATTGTAGGCTGCAGTGTGTGATATTCCATGTGGAAGATTTTTTAAAATAACAGCTTTAATAAGATGTAATTCACATACCATACAACTTATCCATTTAAAGTATACAATTCAGTGCTTTTTATCATATTCTTGGAGTTATATAGACATCCTCACCATCAATTTTAGGATATTTTCATCACTCCAAAAAGAAACCCTGTACCTATTAGTAGTCATTCCCAGTTCATTAGCTCTAGGCAAACACTAATCTATTCTCTACATTTAGATCATATTCATAAGAGAATTATTTTCCAAATTATAATTTAGAGTAAATTTGTAAGTCTTCTCCTTATTATGGTGTGTCTTTTTTAAAGCTAATGCTTTTCTCACATAGTACTGATCAATTTTCAGGGTAACACCTTTTTTATTTTTCAAGATCTTAGTACTAGAAAAGATTAATCCCTAAAGGGCATTTTATTGACCTTTTAGGGATGAGCCAAAAGCTATTCTTTGTTCAATTGTAGAACTACTTTTGAACTTTAATTCATTTTTGAGGTATAGAAGACTAGGAATTTAGTATATTAAACCTAAAGAAAAGGAAGTGGAGAATCTGTTGTCCAGCAAGACCTGGTGCTGAAGAAGTCCCTTATACATAAATGGTCAAGTTCCAAGTTTCCCCAATTAAAACACACCCCATTAGCACTTCCAAATACTTGTTTCCCCTAACTCCTTAAAATCCTCTGATTATAAGCCATCAAGGAGTTTGGGCTTTTGAGCAATAGCTTTCCCATTCTTCGTGTGTAGTGTTAGCAGTAAAGTGTTTCTGATTTTTCCACTGCCAAAACAAAAAAACGTAAAGAATAAACAAAAATGTCATGATAAGTATGTAAAAATTTGTTTTATTAACTAACATAATTTTCTAAGTGTTAATGAAAATAGTAAAATCATGTATGTTATTTTGAATTAAAGTACAGATGGTTCTGGACTTGTGGTGGTTTGATTTATGGTTTTTCAACTTTATGGTGGTGCAAAAGCAATACACATTCGGTAGAAACTGTTCAAGCTAAGCTATGAGGTCCAGTAGGTGTATTTTCAATTTACAGCATTAACTTATAATGGATTTATCAGAATGTAACCCCATTATTAGTAGAGGAGTATCGGTATAGGTGTTGATCTGGTAAGTGCCGATGTTACTTTTCATGCTAGTACTATTTATACTACTCAGGAGCTATTTTAAAATAAACTTCTTGGCACAAATCCTCATTTTCATTTTCTGAATTCAGTTTTAGAGTTTTCAGTGAACAAAAAATAGGGCATTTCTACTTATGGAAATGTTTAGACACATATATGTGTTTTTACATCTTTAGTATGATTTCTGAGGAAATATTTTGAGCAATGTCACTTTATATTCTCTATGGTTTAATATGCTTAATTTGAATTCATCTCTTCATTTTTTAGATTCTCTGCAATGATTGCAATGGAAGATCTACAGTCCAGTTCCATATATTAGGCATGAAATGTAATATTTGTGAATCCTACAACACTGCTCAGGCTGGAGGTTGTAGAATTTCACTGGATCAGCAGTGACCAGCATATACTGCACTGGAAAACTCAGCATTTTCTGATAGAAGAAGCTATCTTTAGTGTCCTATTGTCATAATGTGTCAGAATCTATGCATTAGAGTTGATGTGTTTTGTACTAGTGTCACAGCATAAAGTCATTTACAAATACTTAAGGATTCAGGGTCTCTTTATAGAATCATCATATCTATATTTAATGAAAGCCACTGCACCTGTGTTTTGATTGAAAATTCCTTTAGTGTCAGTTGTTTGGAAGCCAATGATGTTTGCCACTGAATCTTACATCCATAGAAATATGTTATACTTTCATGGAACTTTGCTTTAAGTGGCACTCTGCATGCAGAATTCATTTCTAGTTTGACAGAACTGTAATTAATTCTAAATATTATTCTTGACTTTTTAAGGGCTGTACTATAAGAAAATGTTCTATCTTACTGTTAAAATCTAATTCCATATGCTTTAGAAATTTGTAAGACAGTCCTTTGGATCTTGTAAATGTGAATTTTGACAAAATAACTGCTAATAAAATTATATTGAAACTTTTATAGAAATTTTTTCCCCAAGACTATCTGTTTTTGGCTTAATTAGGGCAATATAATCTTATACTGTAAAAGAAATATTCTTTTGTTTTGAGGTGTTCTCCCATAAGATTAGTTGAGAAAAATGTATTGTAAAAGAATAGAATTCTTCTAAGTCTTAAGAAAACCACCAACATTGACAATAATTTTATTTTGGTTACCAAAATAATTTTTTCAAAGAATAATTCATAAGTATTCAGTGAGCAACTACCTTGTGCCTGGGTATGGTTCTATATGCTGCAGAGACAACAAAAAAAACCAGTATAGTCAAAAGTCCCTGCCCTTATGGTGGTACATTCTAGTGTTCCTCATACTTAGTAAGCTTCTAATGTGTGTGTGTGTTTTGTGTGCATGTGTGCGTGTGGGTGTGTGTGTTTGTGCATTTAGTGGTTGTCTTTGTTGTAAGTGGGTGGATTCTTCTCTAAATGCTTAAAAGTAGGTTATAGGTTTCTCTTTCACGGCCCGCATGGAAAGAGTTCCAATTCAGGGTTCGGGTTCTGGAGAAGGGCCGCACACAAGTGAAGAGACTTGAGTCTTGAAGAAATTCAACTTGGCGATATGGGGGGCCAGGCGGTAGTCCAACTGTAGTGGGAGAGCTACTCTGGCTCTGGCCCTGCCATCCCCTTTTATTGAGGCTTTAGGGAAAACATCTTAGGCAACATAAACAGAAATTTACATGTAGTCCTTAGGCAGGAAATAACAGAAACTTACCCGGGACAAACAAGGTGGAGGCTGCTTCAGCTAACAATATCAACTAAAGGTTAGAGCAATTAAGGTTGTTGACCAGCCTTCCAGGCTTCCTGTCAACATCCCTTTTTAGTGAAACTGAGTTGTTTTCCAGGAATGAGTAAAAAGGGTACAGAATATTCCTGGCAAGATCTCTGATTTTTTAATAGTTTTTTGTACTCATGTAGTAGAATTAAATATACCTCTTAATTCAGGAACAATGCACAGTAATACTTGATGATCCTGAACTTTAGCACTAGTATCCCAGTATTCAATTTAGTTTGTTTATAAAACGCTTTATAAGTAAAGTGTTACTCATCAGTCAACTCCCATTACATTTCTAACTTTGAGCTAGTTGAATTTTCTGTGAATGAGGTAGTGTTTTAACTAGAGATCCTAACATTTCTGGAACATTTATTTTTTCTTCTGTTGAAATTTCTTTACCTGGATAAAGGTAGCAGTATTGATTTCCAGTTTGGGGCCTGGACCTTCTCTATTCTATGTTGCCTTCCTATCTTACATGTTCTACTCTTGCAGTCACTCCCTTCACTTGGTTTCTTTGGCCTGGGCAGGGGGGCACTATCAGTCTTGATTTGGGGAGCAATGGGATATCTTGTTCGGTGTTACTGTTTGGAATACAGATAAGGAAAGACTAGTTTTCTAGTTGTAATACTTTTTGTCTCTGTTATCCTGCTAAACTAGTTAAGTCATATGATTGCTTTTAATTGTTGTCACTGGATCTTTCAATAGGAGTATAGAAGTTCTGTGTTTTGAGAATCTACCATGTGCCAGGCTTATGCATTAGTGTTAATCATTACAATAATTCTATAGCATAGGTGTTGTCTTCATTTTATTGATGAGAAAGCTGATGTTCAGAGGTTATATGACATGCTCGAGTAAATTACAGGTACTAAATGTTGGAGCTGGGAATCAGGTCCAGACGTGTGACCCCAAACCCACTGTACCACACTGCCTTTGACTCAAACTTCTATTTTGTCAAAGTAGTCCTAATAGTCATATATTATGGAGGAGCTCTTGATTTGTTAGACTTTCCAGTTTTAGATGTCTATTTATTTATTTATTTATTTATTTGACAACTGTTTAGTTTTTATTTCATAATCATAAAGTTAATTCTAGCTAGACTGGGAAGGGGTAAGGGAATTGTGGAACCCAATAAACTTGCAAGAACAAAGATTATAGAACATTCCAAGCAAATCGGGGTGAAAGGGTGCTCTCCTGAGCTACAGAAGGAATGGTCTGGTGATAAAGATAAAACACAAGTCAAATTTATCAGAGTTGTCCACAGTCAGCAATGGTGATCTTGCAGGTCTTGCCATTCCTGGACCCAAAGTGCTTCATGACTGTCAGAATATCCATGTCTTCTTTCAGCTGGCCAAAGACTACATGCTTGCCATCCCACCATTCAGGCTTGGCAGTGCAGATGAAAAACTGGGAGCTGTTTGTGTTAGATACAGCATTTGCCATGGACAAGATGCCAGGACCTGTACTTTTCAGGACAAAGTTCTCATCCACAAATTTCTCCCTGTAGATGGGCTTGCCGCCTGTGCCATGTGGCAGGTGAAGTCACCACTTGGCTCATAAATCCTGGAATAATTCTGTGAAAGCAGGAACCTTTAAAACCAAATCCTCTTCTCCCCAATGCTCAGAGCACTGGAGTTTTCTGCTGTCTTTGGAATTTTGTCTGCAAACAGCTTGAAGGAGATTCGGCCCAAGGGCTCGCCATTGACAGCAATGTTGAAGAACACTGTGGGCTTTGTCATGGCTGGTCACAGAGTGGCTTCTGGGCGGAGGTGTCTGCAAAGCTAGATGTCATTTTAATTCATAATCTGATTATTTAAATCTTCAACTCAGGATCCAAATTTGTCCAAAATAAGCAGATTAGTAAATGCTATGATATCCAGTCATGTGCTTGAAGCAGTTTTCAAATGCCCTTGAGGTCGAGGCTTCAAAGAATTGTTCATGACATGTCCAATTCACTTCTCATTCACCTATCATAAGTGCCTTAGCATTCAGTATGTAATAACTTAAAATGGAAAGTCTTAATTTGGGGGGGGGGGGGGGGCCTTTCCTGATTCAAGAATATTTTTATTGTGGGAAATATGTAAGAAGAAGATAGTCCTGGCCGGGTTGCTCAATTAATTGGAACATTGTCCCCTACACCAAAGTGTTGCAGGATTTGATTCCTGGTCAGGGCACAAACCTAGGTTGCAAGTTCAATCCCCAGTCTGGTGGTGTACAGGAGGAAACCAATCAATGTTTCTCTCCTTCCCTCCCGCCCTCCTTCCTTCTCTAAAATCAATAAAAAACATACTTGGGTAAGGATTTAAAAAAAAAAAATAAGGCAAGTCTCATCTTCCAGAGATAACTACTGTTCATATTCTAACAGATAACTTCATTATTTTCTTTTCCTGTTCATAGAGACTTAAAAAGCTTACAGGAATGTATGCCAAGTCTGGTTTAAGGAATTGTCTGTTCCTGAAATAAGGAACGGCGTAATTGTCTCTAATTTGTATCTTAGTATACTTATTTTAAAAACCAGTAACTCAATATGTTTATGAATTTTTTTTAAAGGGGAGGGCATCAAGAGTTCAGGTGGATTAGTTTATTATTATTTTTTAAAAAATATATTGATTTTTTACAGAGAGGAAGGGAGAGGGATAGAGTTAGAAACGTGGGTGAGAGAAACATTGATCAGATGCCTCCGCCTCCCTACTGGGGATGTGCCCGCAACCAAGGTACATGCCCTTGACCAGAATCAAACCTGAGACCCTTTAGTCTGCAGGCTGCCACTCTATCCACATGAGCAAAGCTGGTTAGGGCTGAATTTCTTGGTGCATAGAAGCTCAGTTGCCCCTTGTATCATTAAAGAAGTGTACATAGGTTATTTTTTATCTCTAGAAATTACAAGAGAGTCTTAAGTGTAGGGAGCTGTATGTGAAATTAACTTTAGCTCATGTTTGAAGTAAATAAGTGAGGATTCCTTAGAACAACTTCCAGGCAACTTTTTAGCTTGGTTCTGCCACTCAGGGACCACAAAAGTGTGGTTTTTTGGAGATGGGTGAGCTTGTGACTTACGCATTCTCTATTTTAGAATCAGTAGATAAGTACATTCCTTTGGGTGTCAACAGGCCTGCTCTATGACCCCTGGGGTAATGCTTGACAGTTCATTAAGATTGCCCATGTTTAGATGTTGCTTAGGCCTGCCAAGCATTTGCTCTGGTAAACCTCTGATCAGGATCCAAGGTGGTTGCACTTGTTTTCTCCCAGAGTCAAAACTTCCCTTAATCACCCACCTGCTTCCAACTATTGTCCTGTTTTCACTCCTCTGGCATACCATATTTTTCCATGTATAAGATTCTATTTTTTTCCAAAATCGTTAGGCTAAAAATGGAGGGGCATCTTATACACGGAAATCAGCCCAGGAGGGAGCTAGCAGGTGCATAGCTGCCCATACCTTGTTAAACAGGCTTCCTCCAATCCTGAGCCTTATTACTGACATCAGTTGATGCCATAATTGGAGGTGGAGGTGGAGGGTGCACAGATGCAACAGGGACTGGAGAGTTCTGAGCCCATGAAGACGTCAAAAAATAAGATAAATACTGGTAAGCAATTGTCTTACTCTGCAAAATTCAAACTGAATGTAATCAGCTAAGCAAAAGAGCATGGATATAGAGCTGCAGAGAGCTAATTTGGGCCTCCTCCCACTGAGAGATCAGACAGTGGAGAAGACAGGAAGAACAACTTAAGATGCCAAGAAAAGCCTTAAGAGGAAAACGAGCAAAATGTTTAAAATATTTATTTAATTTTTGGTTGGAATAGTGGTGGTGTCTTATACTTGGGGTGTCTTATTCATGGAAAAATACAGTATTGTATTTTTTTTAAGAGTCAAAATTCAGAATGAGCTAAATATGGTAAACAGCCCTTTAGCCTGTCTAGAGGTTGCCGCAATCCCATCTATTGCCAATGCAGTGAGCTTAGGTGGGGCTTGGCCATTGGCTCCTCATCCTTGTGGGCGGGGACTTGAGGACTTGAGTCTGGAAAACTTTGAAAAAAACAGTTCTGTGTCTTCTAGAGAAGTGGTCGCCAACCGGTTGTCCACAGACCACTGGTGGTCCGTGAGGTCTGAAAGGTTGGTGATCGCTGTCTAGAGCCTGTTCACAACATCAGAAGATCTCTTGGAAACCCATCCCTGATTGCCCCAGACTGTTGTCCACCCACTTCCACCTCCCACGTGGCATCACATTTGCTTGAAGTCTCTAATTGGCATTTGTTCCAGTCTCCTTTGCTTAGATTATTTACACGTTAAGTTAATCTCCCTTGTTGAATTTCAATTTCCTTTAGAACAACTAGTATAGTGTTTAATATGGAACTTAATATGATCTGTAGCCTTCTCTTAAAGTTTTAATGAGTTAATGAGTTATATTCCTCTGGAGTTCTTTTTTCTGATTTTTATTGTACTTGTTTAACTTTTGCTCTATGGCAGCATTGATTGTGGGTCTGGAAACTGCCTTTTTAGTTTCAAAGGTATTTCTGTGAAAGTTACCTTTAGAAAATAGAAATGTTAGGATTTTAAGAAATGACATGAGATGATAAAAACTGACCCAACACTTAATAAAATCAAATTTGAGAGTCATACATTTATAAGAGTATATGATAACATTTATATTCAGTTTAAAGAATAATAATAACCTGAACATTCAGGCCTTCACCACTAGAGAATAAGAAATAGAACATTGACAGTATTTGTGACACCCCAACCCTCACAATAGCTTCCTTAATTATATGTAATTATATGTTCCTCTCTCTTATTGCCTCATTCCATGAAACAATAATCCTGAATTTTGTTAGTTGTTCCTTGCTATTGTTTATAGTTTACTATCTACATATTAATTCCTCTAAATATATATTTTATTTTTACCTACTTTTGACTCTTGTATAGATGGAATCATGTTATATACTAGAGGCCCAGTGCACAAATTTGTGCACCAGTGGGATCCCACGGCCTGGCCTGTGGGATAGGGCAGAAACCAGATCTCCAACATCTCCAAGGGGTCCCAGATTGTGAGAGGACACAGGAGTTCTAAGTCAAGTTCTGTATCAATTGAGAAGTAAATTTGGGAGTCATATTGCTTCTAACGGGAAAAGTAGATTGTGGCTTGGAACCAAGGCCAAATTAAGTTTGCTCTTCCTTATTCTAAGTTGAATTTACCTGTACAGTCATTGAGTACACCTGGAGAGGGAAGTAGTGAGTCTTAAATACTGCAGTTGCCAGAGGGAAGGCTACAGCATAGAAAGGGCTTAGGCCATACATGTACAGGGTTTTTTTTCTCCAAATTTCACCATCAGGTAACTCCTCTGATGGGTGGGGTGAATGAGGAAGCCAAAGAGAGAAGGATGGAGGCTTTCTAACAAAGTTGATCCTTTTCACAAAGTGGAAGTAAGGGCCCTGGACCACCTATTTAGTTGGAAATCCAGCTATACTATCAGCCAGCCCTCTACATACTCGGATTCTCAACTTCACTTTGACCCTGGAACAATGCTCATCAATTGAGAAAAACCCACTTATATGTAGATCGGTGTAGTCCAAGCCCGCTTAGTTCAAAGGTCAACTGTACTTTTAAAGAGGGTAGAATTCATTAGCTGAGACAAGAATATGGAGGAATCCTGGTTCCAAAGGCCCTGAGATAGCCATGTTGTGCTGGTATCTTTGAAATGAAGATGATCTGAATCTGGTCAGACCATGTGGGCTGAATGTAACTTGCAGATAAATAACCTCTTCCTGGTATAGATTCTAAAGCCAGCCTGACTTTCAGGGATGATGGGCTGTGGTGCCAGGCAAGACTCAACTTCTACTTTGTCATCCTGAAAGTGAAACAGTGCTGGCTGGTGTAATCTGTGCACTGTTTCTTTTACAATCAAATCATGTTGATGTCGTAGGCAAAGAGCATTATTTGTCACAATTAATCTCTCTCTTTCTTTTGGCCTTTTACTTTGTGAGTTGATTTATTTTGGGGGGGCTATTTTGCTGTGAAGATTAACGGATTTGTTTGACATAATGAAATTACAGACTTTAGAATTGGAAGACCATATATTCTAACCCACTTGGTTTTGCTTGATCAAACTGAATTCTAGAAAACTGCAATTTACTTGCCCAAGTTTTCTATGAAGGCCTGCAAAGGAAGAGTTTTTCTTTATTTTCCACACCATTATATCCTCTGAGGCTCTGTATCTGTATGTGTGTTGCAAGCTGGGATAAATACAGTTGTCCCTGTGCATAAATACCTACCCAGACATACAGATAAGAGATGATCTGAGTTGGGAGAAGGGAGACATGAGGAATAAAGGAAAAGAATGGAAAACATGTAGGAATAAATAGAAACTATATTTTCTAATGTAACAGCTGAGTGTAGAAATCTAGTTATATTTGTGTATCCAAACATTTGGGATCCTAGTTTAGTGTAAAGGTTTAGGTAAGGAGCCAAATGGTTGAGTGAGCAGCTTGAAATGGCATGGGCTTTGGAAGCACAGAAGTTCAAATTCTGTCAATCTAACATGACCTTGGGTCTTAACTTCTCAGACATTTTACTGTTTGTGACATAGAGATAGTGGCAACAACTTCATAGGGTTTGTGTTGTGAGGCTTAGATAAGATCAAGTGTAAAGCACTCAGGAGAGTGCCTGCTGTGTACTGGGCCATCAGTAGACCTTACTCTTAAAGCTCATACCCTTCCTGTCTGCAGCATTGAGGTGATCTCTATTATCTACTCCCAGTGAACTGTACCAATGTTCCCAAATCTCCAGCCATTGGAACAGAGTCTATGCCTTACCATCCATCCTCAAGTGGGTTCTCTTGGGAGAGACTGTCCAGGGACAAATGGCCTCGAGTGGATTGGGTCTTGCCTCTTACTCTTCCTGGGGGGACCTCACAGACCATGAGGTTCTTCTGGCATAATACCAGGTCCTCGCCATTCAGCCTGCAATGGCTCTCCAGTCCCTTGGTCATCCCTCTCATCCTTGACTCATTTTCCACTGAGGGTGACAGGAGCTGGTTGCTCTGTCCTTTCTGAGTAGCTGTCTGCTGACTGGTTTGGCCGGTAATGCAGCAGTCTGATTGTATAGCTCTGAGCTCCTTATAGGAGGAATCCATTCTCTTTGTAAAGTAACTGACAGGTTTTAGTGAGGTTGTGATGAGGGACATTTCTTTTGAGGTCATTGTAGTACATTTTGATTTCTCAAAAGAACAAATTTCTAAATTTAGAAAAGATAGGATCTTCTGAACTTCAGAATGGTTTGATTGTATATGGGAGACTTGAATTACTTTCTAATTTCTCTGCTTAATATGGGGCAAGTAATTTCCCTGGTAATCAGTTTTATTTTAGGTAAGAGAAATACCGTATTTTTCGGGCCATAAGACACACTTTTTTTCCCCCAGAAGTGGGGGGAAAAAGTCCCTGCGTCTTATGGTCCAAATATAGCCTACACATATACTTTAAAAAAAAAGTTTTTTTACTTGCCCGGCTCTGTGTGGTCTCTGTGTGCTTGCCCGGCTCTAAAATGGTTCTAAATGCTGCTGTTTACTTTACAGGGTTGATTACATGTGTTTATGACTGTGATGTTGGGTTTTAATGCACATAAAATATTTTAGGACACTATTTGTTTCAGAATCTTTTTTTCTTCATTTCCCTTCTCTAAAAACTGGTGCGTCTTATGGTCTGGAGCGTCTTATGGTCCGAAAAATATGGTAATACATAATAATTTCTGATAAATTTAGAGAAAGTTTCCCCCCTGTTAGTAGTCATATTTACTTGGCAGTAGAGTAGAATGGTTAAGGACACAGGCTCTGGAGATGGTTTATATCCATCAGTTCTGTTATATTTACTTGCTGTGTGACTTTGGGCAACTTATTTAACCTTTCTGTGGTTCGTGGGTCATTTGTGAAGATTAACTTTACTTCTGTAAAATGTTTAGACAAAGGTAGCTATATTATGATGTATTTCATATCTGCTACCTTTTCATATTCTTTACTTATTAACAATTATATATACTGATTAGATTTTCATTCTTTACTTTCACCATCTTGCCCCAATTAAGTCCCATAACTTTCCTCCCCTCTCTGATTTATGCTTTTACATCTGAATAAGATGATTGGCAGTCTATGGTATAAAGATGCTGGTGAACTGCAGGGAAAATGAACTCAGCTTACCACCAAACTTTGTTTTCTGACAGCAGAGGGTGCCACAGTGTTTCTGGTGACAGGGATTTTTTGTGCAGAATGATTTTTCTTTCTACATGGTACTTAAAAAGTAAGAGCTCTTCCAGGATACTGACATTGAGAACATTTGTTGTCCGTTATATAAGAATGACACAAACCAATATCAAGAGTGCATAGTCATTGAATAGTTTTAAATTTTAATTAAGCATGTCTATTGCTATCATATTTCATATCTGCCTGTTAGATTTTTTTGGGCCAGATGTATAAAGGTGGAATATTTTCAAGAGTATATGACCAGTACTATCTGCTAATGTTAGACCCTTATATGTTCGGGGGCAAAAGAGGAGGGAGGAACAGTGGTGAGGAGTCAAGGGGAAAGGAAGAAGTCTGGGAGCAGGCAGCGTCAGTGCTGGAATGATGCAAATTTTGGTGCCATGGGAGTCTGCAAGTTGAACAGGACCAGATGGATGATAGTTCTAAGTGGAAAAGTGCTGTTTGACTTGCTGATAATTGGAAACCGATCAAGCCAGAGAAACAAATATACATACCAAGGGGGATCCAAATTATGGCAGATTGAATTTTTTAAGATAGCTGCAATAAGATCTCCATCCCATATGCTTATTGTCCAATCTGACATTGATATTCCTTCTTTTTAAAAGGTGGGGACTACTTTTTTCTCCCCTTGTACATGCATGGCCAGTGACTGTGATTGAAGAGGTATTTCCTAGACTAGTCATAAAGGTGACAGATTTGCTACTGGGACATATTGGAATCTCACTGCCATGCTATAAGGAAGCCCAGGTCACACAGAGAGCCCACATGTGACCTTCAGCTGACATCACAACCAATAGTTAGCCATGATTGTCAGACATATGAGGGAGGAAGCTTTCAGAGGGCTCTAGCCTTAGTCACCTCCTGATTGTAACTTCATGACAGACTGAGTGTAGAAGTGCCCAGCTCAATCTAATTGAAAAGTGCCCAGCTCAATTTAGTGCCCCGAACCATAAGAGATAATGAGAACATGATTGCCATTGTTTTAACCCACCAAATTTTGGGGTGATTTGTTGTCTAGCAACAGTAACTGAAATACAAAGTTAGGGTCCACCAGCCAGATGGTCTGGGATAAGAGAGTAAGTCAAGGAGGTATTTCCAAAGTTAAAAGCTATTTAGTAGAAAGGAGTTTGGGCACAGAAGAAGGATTCAAGATCAAGGTTAGGGCAGTCAATTAGGGAGTTTACAGTGAAGCATGACTGGTGAGGGTTCTGTGATGGGGCAGACTACGTCCTATCTTGCTCTTCATAAAAATAAGCCCACACCTGCGGGCCAGTGTGGCTTGGTTGGTTGGAGCATCATTCCATACACCAAAAAGTGGCATGTTTGATTCCTGGCCAGAGCACATACCCAGGTTGTGAATTTTGAATACATTTAACATTTTATTCTGTTTTAGTCGACATTTGCCAACTCCAACAAGGGAGACTGAAACAAAACATTTAAATTAAATATCCTTCAAAGTTTACAAACCCAAATAAGAAAGAAACCTCAATACTCAAACATTAAAATTTATTTTTATAAGTTTGTAGAATTTATGGTTCAGAGTTATTAAAGCTTAAAATTGCATGAAGACTTCTGGGACACTCTGTTATTTGATTAATCCCCAGTAAGTAACCAATTTCTCATCCCTGCCACCATACCCATCCTGTAGGGTACCCTCCTCACTTTACCCATTCTTCACCTCCCAGGTCCGGCTGCCTTTACACGGAGTTGCCTTCCTCACCTGATGGGGCTATGACTCTCTGGGGCATCTGCACTGAGATGACTTTTTGTCCTGCTTGTCTAAGTTGAGCCACTCCCTGGTGTGGACCTCTCTCCCCACCCCCACCCCCGGCACCCCTCTTTAACCTCCAGAGGCTTACTTTATGCTCTGGGCCCCATGGCTCACGCCCTCCACATTTTATGATGGGGATATCTACTTCTCTTGGGGGTCACCTAATAAATTTAGGACTGAATTGTTCAGGAAAAATGGCAGGGGAAAAAATGGCAGGGAAAGGCAGAGACCTAAGAAGAGAAATAATTTGTTTTAATCTTCCTTCAGTATATTCAAAGATAAAGATTTCCCTCTCAGAACTATCTAGGGGCATCTCACAGATTTTAATATATAATACTTTCATTGTCATTCAGTTCTAAGTAGCTTATAATTCCCCCAGGACTTTTGTTTAACCCAACCGTTATTCATTTATTTAAATAAAATGAGGCCTTCAATCAAACTGAGTAAAATGGAATTCTAGAAGTCATTTTACTTGTTTTCTCTGGGCATGTTAAGTGCCAATGATCTCTTTCTAGCTCAACATGGGAAGTCAACAAGTATTTACATATCTAAGATGCCATTTTAGGTATTATCACCAGGGCAATACACCATAAAACAACCCATCAGCATTATAAGTCTTTTAGAGAGGAGGAACTATTTCCTTGGGATATAACAGGAGTTTCTGAAGTCTGGATGTCTTACAAACCTTTGCTGGAATTAAAGTTGTCGGGTCAGTTTTATGATGCAGAATATTCTGTGCTTTTCTGGCAGCTTCAGGGGAAGAGGAAATATTAGCTCCTTATCTTGCTAAGACTCTTCACCAGAGTTAGAAGAGTCTAGTTTTTCAAGGCTAAATGTTAAAATGTATGAGAAGAAACAGAGGCAGCTCTGAAAATCCCGAAATTCACAGTTTGGAATGGTTTATATGAATTTTGCATCTATATTTCATAAGGTGTTTTTTAGTTTCAGTTTGAGAATTAAATATTCTATATCTTTGTTCTTTTTTTTCCTACTTAGACTAACCATTTCTGAAAGTGGTGACTTAAAAATCTCTGAGTAGAAGATTAATTAATTTCTTGTTTTGTCAGTTATTGTTCCATATTTTAAGACTACTATTATTAATATGTACATATTTAATTATATATATATATATATATATATATATATATATATATATATATATATATATATTCATTGTCATTAAATCATCTTGGTCTCTTACTCCTAATATCAATATATAACTTTTATGCCATGTGATGCTTTTCATTTTATATATTCCTTTTTGTCTATTATTAAAATTGCTATATTGGATTTCTTTTGGTTTACATTTAAATAGTTAATCTTTTTTTATATATATATTTTATTGATTTTTCACAGAGAGGAAGGGAGAGAGATAGAGAGCTAGAAACGTCGAGAGAGAAACATTGACCAGCTGCCTCTTGCACACCCCCTACCGGGGATGTGCCCGCAACCAATATACATGCCCCTGACTGAAATCAAATCTGAGACCTTTCAGTCCGCAGAGCGACGCTCTACTGCTGAGCCAAACTGGTTTCGGCAATAGTTAATCTTTTTTTAATCCCTTAAAAATTATTTAAAAAATTTTAAAACTAAACACCTGACTCAAGAATAAACAATGACAGTTACATCTGCCTATGTATTTCTCTTCTCCCCACCCCCAGCCCATTTACCTGTTTCCCTCAAAGGCAATAGCTATTCTAAGTTTTGTGTATATCATTGCCTTACTTTAAAAAAGTTACATATATACATATATATATTATATACATGTATGTATCACATATGTAAACAATATATTTTTATTAGCTGTTTTTAAACTCTAAAAAGATTCTATCATGTTGTATGCAGTATTCTTAGACTTGCTTTTATTACTATTATGCTACCTATTTCTTAAAATAAGACAACAAGGAAGTTTGCTACACTCAATTGACTCTTCCTTTCACAAATTATTTCTCTGTAGCATGTGATGCTCTTCAATAGCATTTATCCTCTGTAGAATTTTTCCCCCCCCCAAAAAAATAGTGGTCAGTCTTCTCAAACCATGTTGCTGCTTTGTCAACAAAGTGTAGGTAATATTCTAACCTTTCGTTGTCATTTCATCAGTCTTCACAGCATCTTCATCAGGAGTAGATTCCATCTCAAGAAACCACCTTCTTTGCTCATCCCTAAGTAGCAACTCCTCATCCATTAAAGTTTTATGAAATTGCAGGAATTCCGTCACATCTTCATGCTCCATTTCTAATTCTAGTTTGTTACCACCACATCTGCAGGTACTTCCTCCACTGAAGTCTTGAATCCTGCAAAGTCATCCCTGAAGGTTAGAATCAAGTTCTTCCAAACTCCTCTTAATGTTGATATTTGTATCTCTTTCCATGAATTATTAATGTTCTTAATGGCATCTAGAAGGCTGAATCCTTTCCAGAAGGTTTTCAGTTTACTTTGCCCAGATCCATCAGAGGAATCACTACCTATGGCAGCTATAGCCTTACAAAATGTATTTCTTAATAAGACTTCAAAGTTTAAATTATCCTTGATTCATGAACTGCAGAATGGATACTGTGTTAGCAGGCACAACACAACATGAACATGAATCTCATTGCATATCTCCATGAGAGCTCCTGGGTGACCAGGCGCATAGTCAATAAGCAGTAATATTTTGAAAGGAATCTTTTTTGCTTAGCTAGGTCTCAACAGTGGGCTTAACATCCAGGCTTTGTTATTTTTAAAGAGCATGCGCAGAGTAGATTTAGCATAAACCTTGAGAGCCCTTGGATTTCCAGAATGATAAATGAGCATTGGCTTTAACTTCACCAGTGGCTTTAGATCCTAACAAGAGAAGCATCCTGTCATTGAAAGCTTGGAAGCCAGGCATTGGTTTCTCCTCTCCAGCTTTGAAAGTCTTAGATGGCATCTTCTCCCAATGTGAGGCTGTTTTCATCTACATGGAAAATCTGTTTTTTGTAGACACCTTCATTAATGATCTTAGCTAGATCTTCTGGATAAGCTACTGCATCTTCTGCGTTACCTACTGCTTCCCCTTGTGCTTTTATGTTACGAAGACAACTTCTTTCCTTAAACCTCATAACCAACCTCTGCCGCCTTCACACTTTTCCTCTGCAGCATCTTTACCTCTCAGCCTCATGGAACTGAAGAGAGTTGGGACCTTGCTCTGGACTAGGCTTTGGTTTAAGGGAATTTTGTGCTGGTGTGATGTATCCAGACACTAACACTTTCTCCATGTAGCAGCAATAAGTTTAAGTTTAAGTTTTTAAGTTTCACCTTAAAAATTTTTAATATAATTTTTGTGTTCACTGAAGTAGGACTTTTAATTTCCTTCAAGAACTTTTCATTCACAATTTGCCTAACTGTTTGGCACAAGAGGCCTAGCTTTTGGCTTATCATGACTTTTTATATGCCTTTCTCGTTAAACTTAATTATTTCTAGCTCTTTATTTAAAGTGAGAGACTTGCAACTCTTCGTTTAATTTGAACACTTAGAGGCCATTGTAGGGTTATTACCTGATTTCAATGTTTC